TGATGGTTTGTTCGGCATGTGGGTCTGAAAACAATGTGAGATATGGAACCAAATGAAATGTAAAAAGAACGGAATCACAAGACCTCGCTGCCTGCATACAGGACTAGCAGCTTTTTCTTACCTGCGCAAGCAGCAGCTTCCAAAAGTTGCGTGAAGTCTGACATCTTCAGCGATGTTTGCTTTGTTTTCAATGGACGAAGCAAATGGAAATAGGTGGTTATGGTTGGTTCACGGACTGAGGTTTGAAAAACATTGTGTCCACCTATATAAAGGGGGATATGTCATCTCCCTCAAAAGAAATACACACCACGTTTAAGAGACCGTTTTGGAGTAATCCTACGGATTACCAGGCGCCGCCTCCACTTCATGACTCGATGTCTAGCGTGATTGGCCTAGGATGATTGCATACTACAAATTTGTACCAAACGAGATTATGCCAGTCCTCCATACTTAAGTAAGATATGTAGGTTTGGCATCGTAAGCTTGGTAACTAGAATTAGGGACCGGATTTGGAAACGGGAATCGAAGATTCGACTCAATGGACTCAAACGTGACACAAATTTGGGATCTGGATGGTACTGAGCATTTGGTGCAGAAGAGATAAATCAGGAACCGGGTGGGATGGTGGGAAAAAAAGATATAATCGTTCTGAACTGTTTCAGATAATCATAGTTCCTTCACTCTTCATCATCTCATCTTGCACTTGGCAAAAAGAATGCTTCTGTTCACGCCTTTGTTTACCATGCCGATCGTCCCCAAATTTTTGTCCAATGAATTACCGTTACTTTGCTTAAGCGACTGATGACATGACTGTTGGCGTGAAGACAGGAGTCTTCTCTTGCCAGTCCGTCTACTGTCTTGCCTGATCATAATCCTACGGATTACCAGGCGCCGCCTCCACTTCATGACTCGATGTCTAGCGTGATTGGCCTAGGATGATTGCATACTACAAATTTGTAACAAACGAGATTATGCCAGTCCTCCATACGTAAGTAAGATATGTAGGTTTGGCATCGTAAGCTTGGTAAGAACTAGAATTAGGGACCGGATTTGGAAACGGGAAGATTCGACTCAATGGACTCAAACGTGACACAAATTTGGGACCTGGATGGTACCAAGCATTTGGTGCAGAAGAGATAAATCAGGCCAAGGAATGGTATGTGATCGCTTCTGGAGGAAACGGAAGAAAGGGGCCAATACACCAGCGAGTGCATGGAGTGGGGAAAAGAAAAAGAAAAGAAGGAAATTTGTGGATGGCTGGGGCATCATATAAAAGGGAGTAGGAAAGTTGCGTAAAGTAGCAAGGTAGTTATATAAGAAATGTAGTTGCATCCATAGAAAAAAGAAAATCAGAAACGAGACAACACGCAAACACGCAGGACCAGCCAATCTGCTCTGCGGAGCGCTGGTACTGATTATACGTAGAAAACTTTGAATTTATCAACAAACAAACGGCAAAACACTGGCAAAACATGGGCAAATCTCCAGTTTCGAAGGCTGCCTCGGCTAATACAAAAAAGCTGGGCGTGGCTAAGTCCAAGGCTTCCTCTGTAGGAAAAAGCGATGAAAAAACGACTCAAAATTGACTTGGAACAGCCCAAAGACAGAAATCCTGTCAATTCCAATGATGTTGACATCAAGCAAATCGCCAATGATCAAGACGCTCTACGAACGGCCAACAAATTTGAGGCACAACGAATCGCCGAGCGAGAGTCGCGGCATAGAGAGGACTACAATAAACTGGTTCCTAAATTATCTGAGTGGTGGTCAAAGAAATTGTACTGCGGTGAAGCAGTCAATCAAGCGATGCAAAGAATGGATTGCATTCAAACAGGCAACGCCTTATTTGCAGCCTGGGATGATCAATATCCAGGTGCTTGGAATCAACCTTGTTTTTGATTTGATGTCCTGTTCAACGACTATGCCGGCACATCAACATGCAACGATCGATTTCTTCAGATTTTTACTTATCTCAACTCTGACAATGCCCAACTGGCTCAATATCTCATCTCCTCTTTTGATCTCTACACAATCGAGGATAAAGCAGCCAAAGACGTCTGGTCACTGCAAGTTCTTGCAATGCAAATTTCATTGCAGAACCCTTTCTTGTTCTTTGGTATTGACAAATTTGAGAATAACCAGAACAACAATCAATTCTTTGAAGAAGACAAGTCAGATCCTCGCCTTCGTCTGGAAAATCCGTTTGTTGGCTTTTGGTTGATTTGTTCTGAAATGTTTGATTATCCATGGGCAACAACCTTTGACGACGACTACTATAACGAGCCGCCTTCTTCAATCATCCGTGGTATCAAGTTGAAACAAAAATGTTTGGCACCTTTTCAGTCCTTTTTCCGACCAGAAAGTTCAAATCATCACATACAACATGCAATTCAGAAGATCAGTGATCCAATGAACGACCATTTGGACAATGCGGTAGGCCCATCTCATTTGAACAAAACGATTTTAGTGGATCAAAGGAAGCGTCATCGTAATCTGACTGACAATAGATATGATGCACTGGTGGATGATGACGGATTGAGTGGGGAAAATGCTCACAATGCCGAGGCTGCGGACAACGATGCCACTACTATTGACGGTGATGCCTACCAACAACCAAATCAGGACGATGATGACAATGAAATACTAGTGATGGAGGTCCAAAACAATCCAAGACGCCCACCACTCTCTTCAGATGATGAGGACGACGGAGATGAGAATGATGATGATAATGAGGATGATGATGCGGTGAGCAACGGGGGGTTCAGACAGAATCTGTAGAAGCACTATAAAACTCAGAAATCAAAAATCAAAAACTAAAAGGTAGAAGAGTATTGTGGATTTCAGCGTTTTTGGCAATCTTGGGTAACAAACCTGAAATAATAACCCCCATTTTGGGCTGAGTACCTAATACATCTCAATGACGTTTCGCTATTAAAAATAAATAAGAAAAATATAGCCACACGAAATCAGTAGGAAACATACGAAGATACCTTCGTTGATGAGGCTAATATGCAGATAGAGGATGAACACTGATAACCATCCATTTAGATAAGGAATCTAAGCCTGGAATGGCACTCTGCAGAGTGCTATTCCAGCCTTTGATCATAAAATAACAGAGCCAGATTAATACATACTCGACTGACTTTTGGTGGAGAGTCGTGAGTCCACAGCTGAATCCGATTGAAGTTTGCTTTGGACGACTAAAGAGATATATTTTCAGAAGAAGGCCAACCTAGTCTTTCCACTCTATCCTGAGTTGGTGTTGAAGGTTGCCATGAGAGAGTGTACTAGAAATCAAAATGTCTCTGGTTCTACAGGAGAATATGCTCATTGCGGCTATGCAATTGGTGGATTGGACGATGATGTTTTTGATAATCTTTGTAATCCTAATAATGATGATTGACTCTAGTCTTGATTATGGTGATCTACATCTTCCATGTCAGCTCCGTCTGGAAGAATTGGATGTGTATACTTGTTGTAGATGCCTTGGTGGAAGCAATCATGGTTTGGAAGTGAAAGAGCCTGACCGAGCAATACAATGCTCATACAAATCATGGCCTTGGTACCACCAAATAGCTCAATTTCGACAGGCCTATACACACAGTTGCGATCGGCTAGAGCCTGAGCATCCTCATTCTGCAATCGCGCTTGGTTGCGATCAAGTGCTTGGGCTTGGCGGGTTGTCGCATCTGTCGGAATCGCAAGCTCTGTGCCTTTGGGGGCCCTTGCATAGAATGTTTCCAAATGTTGTTTAGCAATTGGTCCAATTTGTAGATTGTTTGCTGCTGCATGCTGGCGAAGCCGTTCCCTCTGAATTGCAGGGGCAGTGGCTCTTCTTAGTCGCTGTACTTGAGCTGCCTGACGTCTTGGAACGTAGACAAAGAATTCAAAAATTGTCCCTTCAAGCAGTCTTGTTCAACTTGGCACTGGCATAATTCTGCATGTCAAGTCTAGTGATCTTATGCCAGCGGTATCTCAGTAGCTCAAGTTAAAATCAAAAGACTCCCCACCTCTGCAAGTGCCACCCGGTGTGCCTTTTTTGAAGGTTACTTGTCCCTTGAGATCTTGATCTTCATCTTCGGGAAGGTTGCCCTCGGCTTGTTGCACCATCTTTTTTTTGTCTCTGGAGGGAGAAGTCACTCGCGCGCAAATTAAAAGTGTAAATAATTTTTAGTAAGTCGATAAATCAGAAATAAGCGATTTCCAGGGATATTCCGCATTTTGGTGTGAATCTGAACTGGAATCGGGGCCTGACCGGCTTGCTCACTCCTTCTGCACGGGGATCTGTGATCCGACATCATCACTGCTCGTGGAATTCATTCTTGGTCGGTGATCGTCGCGTTTTGGTCGTAGTTCGTCGAATTACAGACAGTTCCCCTAATTGACCATTGTTTTTGTCCTCTGAGTCAAAAATTCTGTGAATTTTTCACAGATGTTCCGAAATCTCTGTGAATGACCAACAGATGTTCCGAAATCTCTGTGAATTTTTCACAGGTTTTTTAAGGGTCTTCACAGATGTTCCGAAATTGCCGTGAAGTTTCAACAGAGGTTCAGCTGACATGCGTGCACGCATGCCCTTTCGTAAAAGCACCATACAATTTCGGTAGAGGAAAAAACGGTTAATGTTGTGCGCAAGCAATGCTTGGTCGTCTGGGTCAAAAATTCTGTGAATTTTTCACAGATGTTCCGAAATCTCTGTGAATTTTTCACAGATGTTCCGAAACTTCTGTGAATTTTTCACAGGTTTTTTAAGGGTCTTCACAGATGTTCCGAAATGTCGAAATTGTGGCGAATGGTGGGTTCAGCCAGGAATATAACATTTATGGCTTCACTATGTAAAACTAGTCGTAGACTTTTTTCCACGGTCGTCTGAGTCAAAAAGTCTGTAAATTTTCTATCGTCTGGGATATTCCGCATTTTGGTGTGAATCTGAACTGGAATCGGGGCCTGACCGGCTTGCTCACTCCTTCTGCACGGGGATCTGTGATCCGACATCATCACTGCTCGTGGAATTCATTCTTGGTCGGTGATCGTCGCGTTTTGGTCGTAGTTCGTTAAATTTTCTGTGAATTTTTCACAGATGTTCCGAAATCTCTGTGAATGACCAACAGATGTTCCGAAATCTCTGTGAATTTTTCACAGGTTTTTTAAGGGTCTTCACAGATGTTCCGAAATTGCCGTGAAGTTTCAACAGAGGTTCAGCTGACATGCGTGCACGCATGCCCTTTCGTAAAAGCACCACACAACTTCCGTAGAGGAAAAAACGGTTAATGTTGTTCGCAAGCAATGCTTGGTCGTCTGGGTCAAAAATTCTGTGAATTTTTCACAGATGTTCCGAAACTTCTGTGAATTTTTCACAGGTTTTTTAAGGGTCTTCACAGATGTTCCGAAATGTCGAAATTGTGGCGAATGGTGGGTTCAGCCAGGAATATAACATTTATGGCTTCACTATGTAAAACTAGTCGTAGACTTTTTTCCACGGTCGTCTGAGTCAAAAAGTCTGTAAATTTTCTATCGTCTGGGATATTCCGCATTTTGGTGTGAATCTGAACTGGAATCGGGGCCTGACCGGCTTGCTCACTCCTTCTGCACGGGGATCTGTGATCCGACATCATCACTGCTCGTGGAATTCATTCTTGGTCGGTGATCGTCGCGTTTTGGTCGTAGTTCGTTAAATTTTCTGTGAATTTTTCACAGATGTTCCGAAATCTCTGTGAATGACCAACAGATGTTCCGAAATCTCTGTGAATTTTTCACAGGTTTTTTAAGGGTCTTCACAGATGTTCCGAAATTGCCGTGAAGTTTCAACAGAGGTTCAGCTGACATGCGTGCACGCATGCCCTTTCGTAAAAGCACCATACAATTTCGGTAGAGGAAAAAACGGTTAATGGTGTGCGCAAGCAATGCTTGGTCGTCTGGGTCAAAAATTCTGTGAATTTTTCACAGATGTTCCGAAATCTCTGTGAATTTTTCACAGATGTTCCGAAACTTCTGTGAAAAATTTACAGGTTTTTTTGGGGTCATTACAGATGTTCCGCAATTGCTGTAAAAATAAAACAAACTTTAAAATTTTATCTGGCGAATGAAGTTGAATACTTAACGGCATTGTGAACATTTATAAAATTCCTTGTCGTAGAAGTTTCTTTCTGGCAGGCAATAAGTGAAAGTCGATTTTTGAAGTTTCGTGCAGAAGAGGGTGAAAATGACCACATCGACTCTCCAAAAAAAGAGAAAGCTGGCTTCACAGAAAACTGCGGGATATCCCAGGGTCGGGTTTATAGCCCCTTTATTTGGTGGGCAGAATTTCTGAAATTCACAATATTTTGGGGGTTAGGGTTAGGATGCTTGACACTCACCCCAATCTACCTCCCAAAATCCCCCACTTGAAAACTGGCTGGCGTTGGATCTTGGCCAGTGCCGACCAGCTTTGGCCAGCCCGCCTCGTTTTAGTTTAGCGCCCTTTCTACCCATCCTCACTTTTCTGCAGCCTCCCTCCGCGATGACAATGGAGCGCCTACACTACATGATCTTCCCAATGAATGCTGTAACTGGGAAGTACAGTCGATCATTCTGATGCGTCAAAAACTAAAGAACGCATTGTACCAGATTCTATCGACCTTGTAAACAAAATTAATAGTCATGTCATTGTCCATTTACTTCCATTCCAAGGATAAGGTACGGTGATCCTCCTTTTGTCAGTCATAGTTGCTGTACGAACCCCATCCATTCTGACTTCTTACAATTGTAACAGCTCAACAGGACAAGATCCCACACGGTTTCTGCAACATGTACCCATTGCCTAAGCAAACGCCAGCTCATCCATCAAGCAGCTTTCAAACGATGCTCAAACAGCAGTGTTGATGTTCTGTTGTCCGAAGACAAAGGCGCAGTATTCATATGCTCTTGTTTGAGCACCAGTCATTCAGGCAATACATTGCTGTGCCAAATGGGTACAGAGCCGAGAACTGTGCCACAAGTGTGCAATTCCTCTATCTAGCATCTCCACCAAGGTCCAAAACCACACAAGCACATTCGTATTTCAGCCTTGAAATTGGCGCAACAGCAGAACAAAGCCTACGTGGACTACGTGGACAGTCTCATAGTTCAAAGTATCAAGTGTTCAGTGTCGACAACGACATGCTACCAGCAGACCAACACAAGCGCCATGATCAATTCTCCATCAATCGAATATGGATATCATCATGAAGAGCAAAGCAGCATTTCACAAATAATTATTTATTAGTATAGTCTATGTTTTTTGAAAATACATTGCACACCAAGAAGACTTGTGTTGACACTGAACGCCATAATATCAATTATTATACATTATACCGTCCATGAAACATCAATCTAAGTTCCCTCTCCAGATGACAGACATGGACCAGTGTTGAGCCTCTTATTGCACGTGCGACCCCAGCCTTTTTCGCAAACTTCACTGGTGTCGACCGTCTTGATTTATGTCTGACCCTTAGCAACGTCTTTTTTTCTCAAAACCATGCAGGATCGGACGCCTTTTCTTGCGAATTTTTATTTTTTCAAACAATTTTTCAACGGCACACTTCACAGTGTTGAGCCTCTTATTGCACGTGCGACCCCAGCCTTTTTCGCAAACTTCACTAGTGTCGACCGTCTTGATTCATGTCTGACCCTTAGCAACGTCTTTTTCTCAAAACCATGCAGGATCGGACGCCTTTTCTTGCGAATTTTTTATTTTTTCAAACAATTTTTCAACGGCACACTTCATAGTGTTGAGCCTCTTATTGCACGTGCGACCTCAGGCTTTTTTCGCAAACTTCACTAGTGTCGACCGTCTTGAATCATGTCTGACCGTTACCAACGTCTTTTGTTCCAAACCGTTCGATTTATATGTTGATTTGAATAACTACACAAGTTTTGTGAATAACATACGTTTTATGCTGTAAACAGCCTGAGTTATTCTTGGCATCATTTGCAGCAAGGGGAAACCATCATCGTCAAGCACTGATTACATTCTTCATTATATCAAGTCATTTGGTGAAATGATGGAGGTGAAGAGATGATTTTTCTTATGACTTTGTTACAGGAAACATGTCAAAACATGTCAAGTAAAGATGTTCTCAGGTAAGCGTGTCTTGGAAAAGAGGGGTATTTTGCAAACGGTTTTCACGTGTTACTTAACCAAAACGTATCATGTGAGAGTATTTTGAAAACGGTGTTTTAACGTCTCTTTTGCTGTTTCGAATACCTTGGAGAAAACTTCCCTAGCGTCGAGCATCTTGATGGATGTCTTTCGATTTATATAGCCTCAGACATGCACATGCACGCTCAAACCAAGGGGATACAACAGATGTTTTATTTGAATAAATACAATTTATATTGTATAAATGTAGTTTTCGTAAAATTGGTTGAGGGACGGGCAAGAGATATGAAAGGAAATACTGAACCAATGTTGGACGACATGCAAAAACACAACTTGTGGGGCAATGGGATATTGAAGATTACCGTGAGAAGATCAAGAAGTAGACACTATTTAAAACAAAATGTCAAACAATTGGGGAGTCGCAATCCAACCTTTTCTTTATACCATTCTTTTAAATAAAACTATTCTTATTTGTATAAAATCTAGTTTATTCCAAATAACATAGGAATTATACTACCGGCACAGGTAAACGGCACGCAAGTGGCAACGTTTGCGAAATAGTCCGCGGAATAAGGCGGGTGGAGGGAAAAATGGGAGGGAAAAATGGGAGGGAAATTCAAAAAACGGCGGGATGACAACACCATGGTACCAGGTACCGATTCTTGGAAAAACAGCCACAGATCTCATTTACAACTTCAGTTTTGAAGCCAATCTGTTTTTTCCAACATACCATTCAATTGATTCGAAACATGATGCAGTGATCACTTCTCCTCCCTCTGCCTGCCCCTTTGTGTGAGATGCGGCAGTCCAAAACGCGGCGGTCCAAAACACTACACTTCTTACACAACGAACAATCAAGATCTACGACATTTGAAAACCATCAACAACATCAAGTCCCTACATTTACACGACATGCAGAAATGATGGAATTGATTTGGGACGAGGATCTACTCATGAAGATGTGCGAAAGTCTTACGTTGGCTGCAAGTGG